GTGTCCAATAGTATAGGAATTATAATATAGTTACAGAGCGTAGGCTGGTGAAACACTGTGAAATTATAATAGCATTTTCTGGCATAGGAAAAGTGCAAAGAGTGTTTTTACCATCTGGAAGAACACTTCAGATTTGGACCTTGATACTTTTCTATTCTGTTTGGTTCCCTAACATCTTTGTTTAATAAGCTTGGAATTATTAGATAACTGTAACTTCTATAGGGTTAAGCATAGGTTACTGTTGGTTTAATTTGTGCCATTAACCTGTAATTGAAGCTTGAAGAAGCCCTTTCCTTTTCATGACCAAGAAAACAGGTTTCTTTTGTTTTCTGACCCAACTCAGTCAATGTCCATTACTCATTGCACCACTGATATTTCTTCTGCCCTCAACTGTCTGTTCTCTTACTGAAAGAACTTGTTGCCAAGAGGAGGAATGCAGGCTCCTTGCAGGATATTAAAGCAGGTTTCCTCCTCTGTAAGGTGAACCTACAGGCATTAATGAGTTTTAAAAGAGAAGCAAGGGCTTTGAGTAGAGTTTAGTCAGTATTTTCTCATAAGTGCCATTGAGAAGTGACTGAGATACAAGAGGAGGAAGAGGCAGGGAGAGAGGTGGATTTCCTCCTCTGAAGGGAAACCCCTGCTCAGAAAACATGTGACAAAACCCTATATTTTGGTGAGTGTGATCTCTCCTGTATCTTGAAGCAGGCAGGGGTCTCAAGGAAAGAATAACATTTAATTATGCAATTTGCATTATTGTTGGTAATGGCAGAGGTATAGAAACAACAAACTGAATTAAACTCATGATCCCAAAGGGCATTATTTTACATATTGAGACCCCAATATTTTTACATACTGAGACCCACAGCCTTCTCATGAGGATGGTGTTCAAAGGAATGAAGTTGCTCCCAACAGCATCCATACAGTTCAGATCCTATTTCCACTCTCTCCTCTCCAAATTTGTATCTGCTGGCACTTCATCAGCTTTGGGCAAAATTCAGATACAATTCAGGGGGAAGGAAGGAGGAGGACAAAACTGGTGCAGCTGTTCTTATTTGATGGTAGATTTTTTTTTTTTTAAACAAAGTGACTGAAGGGTGAGGCCTTTGAACTGTCATGATTTCTTTTCACCAAAGAAATAAGATTTGAATTGAGATATGAAGGGGTGAAAGATTCCATGTATAAACAGGTACCAGGTGAGCTTTGGTCATCAGCTGCCACAGGGTCTGAAGCTTCCCCACCATGAATGGGCATCCTATAAAAGCTGTTCAGTCCTGGAAACAGGAGACATTTCTTTGCCTACTTTCTTGTGGAACAAAAAATAGCACAATCAGAAACTGCACTAAAGGAAAAAAAAAGTTTCAGCAACCCTACAGATCACCTATTTTGAAATCAGACAGCTATGGATAATGGAAGTCAGCTTCAGATAAAGAAATTATCTAGGGAAAAGACACTTAGATCCAGTTATTGTTTAATATACACATTTTCTGTCCTGTATGTATCACATGAGAAAAAAAGGAATCTGAAAAAGAGAAGCCAAAGGAGTTTAGAATATCAGCTCACTCTGAATTAAAGAATGCACTTCCATTATTCAATAAAAAATTTGAAAAGACCAAGAAGCTTATGGGACTAGATTAAATGAGGAGCTCATCACATTGTAGATGACTCATTGTAACTCAAGAAATTTACAACAGTGTAGAAGAAAACAGATGGTGCAAAGAATCCTCTGTACAAAACACAGATCAGTGCTGAGCTCAAGAGCCAGAAACCACCCTTCAGCCCAGGACCAATGGCAAGAAAATGCTGCCCTTGAAGTGATTAAAACCCATGCTGCTCTTCTGAGCATTTCTTTTTTCAAATGGTTTCATTGGTAACCATATTAGAGTTCTCCTGCAGCTACTGGATTTGAAACAACTAATTAACAGAACTTCCCATTGATTCATCATAGGGACATTAGAGCAGCCTTTAGGAATGGGAAAATAGAATGTACCTGTCTTACAGTCTTCTGGTTAAAAAGATCTTTAACAATAAGTGGATAGGATCTCTAAGGTCTAATTGACTTCTGCTCTGGTGAGCAACAGTCACAAGGAGCAGAAATTTCTCCACAGACATGAGTGCTGTTTAGTAGCACTTCACAAGAAAATAAATAGAAACTCAGCTAGCTGTGCTTTTAATTACTTGGTTTTATTTGTCTGTTTCTTCCTGCAATAATTTTCTGACTGGAATCCTGTCTGCCAAAAACAGGAGCATCCTTCTGCACATACAGGAAATGGTCAATGGTGATTCTTCTGGGCCTTTCTTTTAAAAAGTACGCTCTTTTTTTCTTTTCTTTTTTTTTTTTTTTTTTTTTTTTTTTGATAAAAACACAGATTCATTTTTTTTTTTACTTGATAAAAACACAGATTCACTTCTCATATTCACAGCTTTAGGTGCACATCTCTGCATTTGGATTTAGAGGATTCAGTGCTGGCACAGTGCCACAGGTGTGATGTGAGCCTTGCTGTATGGGTTTGTTGGTTTCAAGTGCAGGTCAAGCACAGGTGGTTTAGGGGAGATCTAAAGTCATTCTGTTCTGTTAATTTCAGACTGAGTTCTTTCCCAGGAAGGCAACGGGGTTATTTCCTATACTGAAGTTTTGAGAGGATCTTCCAATGCACCACGACTGTGCTTTTTAACTGCACTTCATCAGATGGAAGAATTATTCTGTTGAACTCAGACTGAAAACATGCATCAATTGCTGCATAAATTTGGAAGTTAGAACACAAAGAAAAATCCCCGTCATGCAGTACATACGAAAAGCTTGTAAAGTTGAGGTTATAATTTGAAGATGTGTTACATCAGCAGTGTATATTTTATAAGCCTAAAAGAGCCAAGAATATAATTTTGTCTACAGCTTAACCTAGTGTTTTCTGTCATCAGTCTTAATAATTTTGCTTGGGGTTGGGTTGCCTGACCAGTGAGCTCTCAGGTGCTGTGGGATGAAGCTGCAGTGTGCTGGGAAGGTGGCCCAGCTGATGCTCATCACCTCTTATCAGGCACACAGGGGTACCAGATGTATCTGACAGGTTGCTGTAGCTCACTCAGACCCACCTGTAAATCACAGCTCAATGCCAGTGAATTACTCAGAATAACAAATAGTAAAACAATTTGTGTGAGCAGTGCTTTCCTAGGCCCTTGATCTCTGTTTAGCAATTACAAATCCATGTTTGCTAGCTCCTGCTATCCTTCAAACAGACATGACTTCGTATCTTGCTTGGAGAAGTTGATTGGACCCCAGAGAAATATTGTGAGAGCTCAACTTTACCCTCAGTTTCAAGAACAAAAATTTCATTTTAGCTAAGGGAGTAGTTGTACCTACCCAGGGATAACACTTTGGTTCAAATCCTGTGAATGTTTTTTATTTATTAATTTGTGTTTTATTCTGTTCAGTTATTTACATTATGCTGTTTAAGGGCTTTCTGAAAACCAGGTTAATCCTTTATTCTGCATGGCAGGATTTTTTTTTTTATTTTTTTGCTCTGACACCCTTGCATCAGACCTGTGGTTAAAGTGGCAAAGGCGTAGAAGTTTCCTGTGTCAGCACTTACACTTTGGTAGGGTTTTTTTTCTGGTGTTAGGTGTTGAGTTGGGGATTTTTTCACATCAGAGAGGACAAAATTACTATCCCACAGAATAATTACTCAAAGGTAAGACTGGATGGAAGTTAATTTTCTCTCTCAGATAAATGCATTATCACAGAGAAAAATGTGCACGTCTCTGTGTAGAGTTTCCCTTTTTTCAAAGACAAACACACAGTTTTGTTTTCTTCAGTGTTTGTTTGCATTCTAGAATTTATTGTTTTCATTTCTTAAATCTCCTGAAATGTTTACAGGAAAGAAAACTAAGGCGTGAAATTTTGTGACTAGAAACAGATTCTCTTTTCATTTTCTTAGGGAGATTGTTTCGTTCAAAAGATAAAACCAGAAGTCATAAAAATGTGTTATTTTTAGGAGACAACTCCATGGAAACTTGGAAGAAGTTAAGTAAGATTCAGAAGAGAGATGAATGGGGGAGGGTGTGTAATAAACTGATACTTTTTAGTGGGAATACAAATAGTGAAATCTGTGAACCACTTTTGGTAGCTGGATTGTTGATCTTAGTTGTGTTCAGGACTGTTGAATAATATGACTGGGTTTGCTGTAACATTTGGGAGGGCTGCACATCAATACTATTAAAACACGCATTAGTGTCTGGAGAATATTTTTAGATGCTTGACCAGATTAATAAAGTAAGCAAAGATCGTTTTCTAGAACACAGTCTTTGCACCATTTAAAATCATTGCGTAGATAACAGGGCACCTTCTTTTCCAAAAAGGCAGAAAAACTGGTTCTTAAAATTGGTTAACCCCAGAGTGAGATAACTTGGCTGCTGGGTGCATCCATGCATGTTGGGCCCCTTCCAGAAGCTGTTTTTTCCCCCAGTTTGCCCATACCCCAGTCCCTTCCAGGAGCTCCTGAAGGATCTGGCTCTTGGTGCACACAGACACCTCACAAAGGGCTTGCCAGGAAAGGGATTCATTGCGTCTGTTTTGAGCTGTGTCCCTTTATTTTACCCCAGAGAGTAAACTGAATGTACGTCCTAAACACTTGAATCATAACATTTAATGAAGATTAACCTGCATGCAGAATTTGCTGCCTCTGCAATGTGGCTCTGCTCTGGGCATGGTGTCCCTGGAGCCAGCAGCGCTGCCTGGCTGGGGCAGAGCCCGCCCAGCCCAGTTTCTCTCTGTATTTTTGCACACAGCCATTTTCCAGAAGCTGCTGTGCACTTCAGCAGAGGAGTTACCAGCGTGTGCTTGAGACATTAATTCCAGGTTATATGGTTTCCCTGAGAATTGCCATCTGTCATGCTTTTCTTGGTGGAGGTCACTCCAAGTTGCCTCGGGTTGGTATCCTCAGACAGCAGGTTGGAAGGATAAACCGTGTGCTTCGTCTTTAACCCTTAGTTATCCTTTTCCCTTTCAGCACCCACCTTGATAGGTATGGTAAGGAAGGACTGGGCTTCCCAAAACAGCATTGCCCTCTCCTGGCAAGAGCCGGACTTTCCCCATGGAGCAATTCTGGACTACGAGATCAAGTACTATGAGAAAGTAGGTCTCACAGCATCACCCACACTCAGATCCTAAAAAGCAATGTGTTTTGTATTCTTAACAGTATTTTTAAAAAAACTTTTCACTTGACGCCACATACAATGCTGTGTATGCCAGACTTTTTATTTTGTGCTGTTTTTTTTGTTGTTTTGCTTCTGATTTGTTAATGACTGTCTTGTTTCACACTAGAGTTGAGTAGAGCAGCAAGCAGATTGTGCATTTACTTGTCTCATAGTAACTCCATTTACAAACATGGATAAATGGATCACATGCTTCAATACATTTTGATTTATAGACTGTAAAAACTTCACATTAGAGTGACACAACAGAGTTTAAAGTGAATGGGAATATGATTTCAATTTGAGGCAAAAGATGTATTTATTTATTATTGCTAAACAAAGCAATAGTATGTGCTTAAAGGATAGGTGCACCAGCATTTTTAGAGGGTTAGAAAAGGTTACAAGAGAAACTATTGGATTTCTGGTGCTTTGTCAAAATTAGGCAATTTCACACAGAAGAGGGCTACAACAAGCATTACAAGTAAAGGTACAAGGTGCCCACACAGCATGTACTGGAAAAGCATAAATTGAAGCCTCCTTCTCCATAAGCAAAAAACATACTTTGTCATTTCCATTTGCTACAGGGCCTGGTACCAGTAAAAAATTTTGTGCTGACCAGTGCCTTCAATCCTGAAGACATAGATGGGAAATTTTTGATGTCTGTACCTTAAACAGTTCCCTGATAAGTCAGTTCTTGCTGTTTCCCTGCCCCCATCTGAAGTGACAGTGGAACTGATGTGTATGAAGATCACAAAGAACAGAAATACAAACCAAGTCATGGAAGAAAGTATTAGGGATATTAGGCTCTGTAAATATCTGAGAATTTTATTCCTTGACTGCACTTCACTGTTGAGATTATGCAGCTTTAATGATGCAGAAGAAAGGGTAAACTGGGAAAAAAAAAAAAACTCTGAACAATTTAAATAGGACAGCTAGAAGGAGAAGACAGATTGCTTAGAATATTTGGTAAGCCAAAGCAAGGAACCCTATTTTCCTACTCTAATGGAAGTCCTTCAGGTTCTGATCCATTGTCATATTATGTCCGTATTATGACTTGAACTTCTTTTCTTTGTTGATATTAAAGAGGTGAATTAAACAAGACAAATTGTGAGATTTTATTCAGTCGAATAGGAATAGTTCCAAAGATCTGTAGGTGTTCGTATGGATGTTAAATTATAAATCTTAGATATATATTTAATAAAATCCTTTCTCAATGGATTATGTGCCAAGAGCAGTCAGTGCTGAGTGACAAGGCAAATAATTTTTCTTAGGGGTCTACTTATTCCTTAGCCTTGACCATTGCGCAGCAGGACTACATGCACAGGCCTTAAGACCCTTTGCTAGACACAGTTTAAACCACTCTTATCTGTTTTTATGAAAAAAAGAGAACAATTTTCTATGTCCACCTTTTAAAATATATAAGGAGCATCTTCTCTCTATAAACTCTTTCCTCTGAGGTCAGGGGAGATAAAATGCATTGCTGGCACCTTCCAGTGCTGTGGCACAGGTGTAATTTGCAAGACCTCTGTTGGAGATGAGGTTCTTGATCAGAGAGATGAATAATCCAGTACTGCAAGTCAGTCTGCTTATTTACAGCATTAAATTGGAAAATATTATTTCACACCTCTTTAATAATATTTAAATCTTGCTTTAATCATATTTAAATCAAGAAGCATACCTTACAACACTGACTAAGTGTAGTGGCCGAATGCAAATGAAATTTTATATTGAGGAAGAAAAAGGGATGGTTCCTACCTCAAAGCCAGAAAATATTAATATGCACAATTAACTTAAGTTCCAGTTCATTTTTTTTCTTCTTCCCTGTGGAGCTCTGTATATTAAAAAACATAGTTTGTGTTATGACAGGGCTAGATGTAGCCACTGGCACTGTAATCTCTCAGCCTTCCCAGGAACTCTGAAACAGGGGAATATCAGCATTCCCATTCTCAGCAGAAGTGACAAAGTAGGCACGTTGTTACATGCTCACAGAAAATATGATAAGAGGGAAATAATTTTCTACTGGATCTAGTATGAATTTATCATAAAGACACCCCTCTAACAGAGAGCAAAAAAATGCAGGTAAAGTTGAAGAACATGTTAAATATGAAAAGGTCAGAAATTTTATTAATGTCTAAGGGAGTAAAGAAAAAGGCAGAAAACAGTAGTCTTAGCTACTAATAAACACACTAGGTAGAAAAATAGAATAACTTTTGCAGTCCATTTTGCATATCCCTTTCTAACTATCATTTGCATTTAATAAAGAAAGGTTTTGTTCTGATAAACAACATAAGAATGGAATGTCTCCATCAAATACAACCACTCAATCCCTCAAATTCAGCTGGTATTGTCAGTTTCTTAATTTTTTGAAGCTCTAAAGAATTATGCAGTATTCTAAACTTTTACAAGTATTACTGCTATTTTTTTAAGGCTTCTTGTTGACATTTGAAAAATTGTCAGTACATCATTGGTGAGGACATTAGGGGAGCAGCCTGCTTTTAATTCCCAAGGTTCCCTGGAAGAAATGTAAACTTCAGAAATCAAATAGCTGCCCAATAAACTGTAAGCACTCCAGAAAATGGGGCAGTTTCCAACAATTTCGTAAGGAAGACAAATTAATGATGATGATGAGCATGGAACATAAAGATCCATCTTTCCATGCATTTCCACAACAAGAACACAGAGGCTACATTGTGCCAATTATGCAAGAAATTTACATTTATACTCTTGTAAAATACAGATTACTCACAGAGAACTATCAAAAAATCAAGTCCTCTCTGTGAAAAACATTCTTCTGATAAAGACTACCAAGTTATAAAGAAATAAAGTGGAGAAGGAGAGTTATCCAGAGGTCTCAATAAGTTACAAAAAAGGAATCATACATTAATTTCAAAGTACAATAAAGCAGTTCAATAATTTTTCTGTTTCAAAGTACCTTTTCCTATATGACCTTCATTTCTCCAGGGAATTGCTGTAAAACATTCAGAACTTCAGGAAATATTGTCTCTAAAAATTAAAATCTTGGGTCAGTAACAAAATTTCATCATGAGCCAGTTGTACAGATTTGTAGTTTCTTATTTACAAGTGCACTGGTACATTTTTGTTTAGTTGTCTGACAGGTCATTTTTTTCTGCAGCCTTTCAGCCAAAAATGCAGTGAACAAAAATCTGACCTAGGACATAATTAGAGAGCTGATTTGACCTGGGAGAACAAAAATTCCTCAACATTCAGTCCAGGATTCTCTGAGTTCTGTCACAGCAAAGAGAAAGGGTTTTCCACTGTTTGAATAGTTGTGTGATATAACCAGGCAGAGAATATCATGATCCTGAAATAATTGCCTTGTTGAGGCTTGGTAGTTGAAATACCTGATTTCGGGTAGATTATGAATCATTCTGAAATCTATGCCTTGGGTGAGTCTTTACAGCAACACACAGAAGGTCAGTTAAATGTTTGTCCTTGGAAATCTGAGACATACTCATAAAAGCATTTCTTCATAGACCTTCTTTGGGATCTTGAAATACTAAACATTGCAAATTATCTCTGTTGATATAGGGTGTCTGCCCTATTCTGCACTCTGTCCATTGTATTCTATGATCCCTTGATATCATCCACAAACATTACTTCTAAAAGAAAAAATCTCTCATGTGCCATAGTGTCTTTCCCTTGAAAAACTGCACTCATTAATATAATCTCATTGCCATTGCTAATTGCAATTAATTTTTCTTTTCTACTTTAAACTATTACTCAGACACTGACCAAAGCTTGCACCATTTGCAAGATTCCAGGGCATCATAATCTCTTTACCTCTCATTAAAAGTGTTTTGTGTTTGAGGCAGATGGAGGAGTGGGGCTTTGTTAGAGCCTTGTAATGACACCGAGTCCTTCTGTAGGAATTCCCTCAAGGGAAAGGGAACACAGCACACAGTGGATATAAACCTCACCAGCTGCACTCCAGGTTGTGCAGCTGAACTGGAAAATACTTATTCCTCCCCTTTCCATCCTAACCCAGAAAGTTAATCATCAAAAATTAATGCTCCATAAGACCTGTATTAGGCATACCAAGCTGTGCACATATCAGCAACTGTATTAAGTTGTTATTTGTTCTCCCACGTGGCCCAAGCACACCAGCTGGATTACATGTCCTGTTACACACAAGGTAACATATAATTAGCTAAAGAAACCTGTCTGTAGAGAAGGGATTTTAATGGAATGTAACCCAAGAAGTAACCCAAGGCACTGCAGTGAAATCTCTAAAGAGAGAAAGCAGAGAATATCTTTAGAATTAGGATTTGGAGGAGAGGGCTGATATTTCTTTTCTTTCTTGTCTCTTGATGAAATTTAAAGCCAAAACCCTTTGCCAAAATACTTCATTTTTTTGGGAGATTCAATTTTCAGCTCACAGGAAGTTTTCACATAAAAAATTAACCCACCTCCATAGGACAGTGAGTGGACAGGACATGTAGGATGTCAGATATTACTTTTCCTTCATCCCAGTATTATTTAGAGTTGAATTAATAAATAGAAGTGAGAAAATAGCTGAGCAGTAGAAGCAAGGGGGAAATTAGTTTTCCAATGAGATTTGAAAAAGAGATGAAGAGCTGATGAGGCAGAGAGATAGAGGAAAGTACCAGATTTAAAGAATTAGAAAGAAGCATGACCTTGTTAATTTTTCTATCAGTCTACAGCTGTCTTCACTTAACTTATACAAGAAATGATGCTCAGTCTTAAAATCTAATATTAAACCGAAGACTGCTATTGCTTTGAATAATCATTAATATGAATTAAAATGAGACATCCTGAGTGTCACACATTTGAGTGACAGACCTTTAGGTAAATTACATGATAGGAGTAATGAGAAATTTTAAGATGCTCATTACATAATGTTTTGAGTGACAGAATTATTTTTATAAGAATTAATATGGAAAATTATAAACACCATGAGAC